TTACAAACATCAGCACATTGTGCCGACTTTTGGATAGATATTGGTATATTAGACGTAGTTAAAAGATAAAAGGCCTAAATCGGAAGGTATGGGTGCTATGGCAGAAATTGAGCTGATCCTTATAAAATTTATTATTGGGAATTATGTTTATATAAAACTTATTTGTGCCAAATTTCTTTGTGGTACTAGTGTTTATAAGTGAGTTGTGGGCATTCATTTATTTCCAGAAGGGGACTTTGTATTGGGGCTAGGGTCAGAATCGACAGTGTTATTTATAGTTATTTCAAACTTAATTATACTAATTTTTAGAAAGATAGTGGACAGTCCGGTTCTATAGGGCTAGGGCAAAAATTGGTCCGATCCTTATAAAATTTAATGTCGGGATTTAGGTTTATATAAAACTTATTTGTGTCGAATTTAATCGTTTTACTAGTATTTATAAGTGAATTTTGGTAATTCAACACATTTTCTGAAGGGGAGTTTGTAGGGGGGTTACGGTCAACTGAGGCCCGATCATGACGAAAATTGACAGAGTTATATATAATTATATCAAACTTAGTTGTGCCAATTTAGGAAAGATAGTAGTATATTTGACGTAGTTATGAGCTAAAAGGCCTAAATCGGTAGGTCCGGTTGTATGGGGGCTAGGGCAAAAATTGGTCCGATCCTTATAAAATTTAATGTCAAAATGTATGTTTATATAATATCTATTCGTGCCAAATTTCATCGTGATACTAGTGTTTAGAAGGGAATTGTGGACATTTAAGTCATTTTCTGAAGGGGACTTTGTATGGGGACTAGGGTCAAATAATGCCCGATCTTTACGAAAATCTCTAGAATTATTAAGATATATATAAAAACTAAATTTTAACAATTTTTGTAGAGATAGTAGATCATTTAACATAATTATGAGGTCAAAAGCCCTATTCGAGGGGTCCGGTTGTATGGGGGCTATGTGAAATAATGGACCGATTTCAACCATTTTCAATAGATTTCGTCCTTGGACCAAGAGAAGCGCACGTTCCAAATTTCATCAAATTATCTCAAAAATTGCCTGTAGAGTGCGCACAAGTTTTACATGGGACAGACAGACAGGCGGACGGACATAGCTTAATCGCCTCATGAAGTGATTCTGAGCCGATTGGTATACTTTAAGATGTAAGCACATCAGCACAAACGTATAATACCCTCCCCACTATAGTGGTGTAGAGTATAATTAAGTATATACATATGTATATTAGAAAGATTTAAATTACAGACATATTCGGTAACAAATTTGATTTGAATTAACACTTCACACAGCTCCTCACTTGCCTGGCATACAAACATTCTCTAAATAGTTGTGAGTCTCTTAACATCTTATATCCATAATATTAAATTGAATTACTTTGCACAAGCAAACATTTTTAAAGTTTTTCCTGTACGTCAACAAAATTATATTAAATAATTGTAACAAATTTTGTTGTTAAAAAGCCTGTTTGTTGTAGCTCATGTTCATTATATATGAATACGAAAACTTGATTCATTAAAATGTTCAATACAGTTCTTCTATAATTTTGAAGCAGCCCGAAAAAATTTTAAATTAATAAAATGAAGAACATAATTGTGTTTGAAAATATTATCTTATTACGATGAACTTGTAAGTCTACATTTGACACTGTAGCTCAATTTTTACACTCATAATAAATTTGTTTTATATACAAGTACACAAAAGAGCAAAATATTAAAATATATATACTTATGTTTGTTTGTAACTATGTCACTTTGTTAGGATTGAATTGGGTTTTTAAGTCATGCTGTGTTATAATCTTAATATAACATTCATTCAAGAATATTATAGGATCTGTTGGAGTAACACCCTTGTAAAATAAAACCAATATAAAGAACATGTGACAATTTTAAATCAAATCCAATAAAATATGAAAGTGTAATGAAATAAGAAAACAACACATATTACGATGAGTATGAAATCAATTGAATATGATTCTGCTAATAAACAAACTAAATTTTACAATTTTCAAAGAACACAATTTTCCTTTTAAGATTTTACTTTCAAGTTGTGTGTACGAACATATGTAGGTCGATGATGATGTTGAATTTACATTCACATAATATTGTTCAATTATTGAATAAATTACATGTGAGTTGAAATCGAAATTTTGACTATAACATTATCAATAATGTTTGTAACTAATTTGAATGGAAATGTGATGTTTCCTTCGGCTGCCGTATGTTTTAATGTTATTAGAGAATATTATTCTTCACTATAAGAACAAAGATTTAGTATTCAGCAAAAACACAAGTAATAACTATTATAGTATAAGACCGGTTAATCGAAAATCCGAGTTTTATTATCAATTATATGAAAATGTCTTAGAGTATACACACTGTCCTACAGAAACTGCATCTAGATACTTAGGTAATGAAGCTACCTTCGTTAATAGAATCAGCGAAGAAGTATTAGATATAACTTTGTATTCAAAAGGCGAGTACTCCTTTTCTGACCATCGGTATATAACATTCGAAATACTTCTGCCGACACCAAATTCGATAAAGTTTCGGAATAAGTCAAAAACGAATTGGATAATGTTCGGGTCCTTACTAAAAAACCGCTTATGTCAGGACACTTTTCAATGTCGAAAAAAAGAGGACATAGACGCCAAAGTAGAAATGCTCACAAGTGCCATAATTGAATCGTTCGAGGATAGCTGCCGTCTGCGAGAGCGAATGTTCGGGTCCTTACTAAAGAACCGATTATGTCAGGACACTTTTCAATGTCGAAAAAAAGAGGACATAGACGCCAAAGTAGAAATGCTCACAAGTGCCATAATTGAATCGTTCGAGGACAGCTGCCCTCTGCGAGAGCGAAGATCTGCCCAGGAGAAATCCTGAGCAACAGGGGAGATCCGGAACCTTGGGAACCAAACTATTTAACCGGACACGGCGTAAAAACACCGCAGTATACTGGGATATGTATTGTAGTAAACTTGGTGAATATAAGAACATTGTTCGAAAAGCCAAAACAAACTCTTGGAAGCTTTTCTGTGAACAGTTAGACAGCGTAAATGACCTAACAAAGATAAAAAATTCCTATCCAAAACTCATGTCTAACCGGAATCTATAATGGATGACACGGACAGGAGGTAGAAGATATGGAAACTCCAAATGGACTCTTATTTCCCATCCGGTATATTGAATAACATAGATGCACCGATATTGGAGAAAGGGGAGGCTAACACGGAAATAATTATTGCATCTGATATGGGTAAAGGGGCAATCAAGAGCATTGTTTCTATAAAACTACGTATGAATCCTTCGACAAACTGTATACACTGGCGGTATGCATTGACATCGAAGGCGCTTTCAATAACGTGCACACTGATACTCTTATCCAATCCCTAGCACAGTTTAACGTTGACCGGGTGCGACGTAACTGGATCAACTACATACTAAGAAACAGATGAATAAGCTGCGACATGTACGATATTACTATCAGGAAAAAGGCATTTCGCGGTATACCACAGACCCTAAGCGAGAAAAGACTTTGACGATACTTTTAAAGGGAAAGGATCCAAATTACTTGTGTAAGATTCCGGTGACAAAGTTAAGTACTTAGGTGTAATCCTTGACCGGAAATTAAAATGGAGACACCACATAGAGGATAGGATCAATAAGGCGGATCGGTGCTGGGCGATATGTAGGAGAACTATAGGCTTGAAATGGGGTCTTAGTCCTACCATGACAAATTGGGTTTATAAAAGTCTAATTAGACAAATTCTATGTTTCAATAATCTGGTGGACTGATTTGGACAAAAAGTGGATTATCAAACTACTACAAGGCGCTCATCCTACATGCTGCATGGGTATAAGTGGTACAACTTTAACCAAGGCTCCGGATATATGGCTAGATATTCCATGAAACATGTTTAAGATATGAGGCGGCGCTTACAGACGAACGGTTTTTTACTTTAGACGATCTGCCAAAAGCGGTTATAGGGCACGTCATCAATGTATACTGGACACATTGGAAGGTTATACAAAATCATCGGATGTGCCTGATCGCATGCCATGACGCTGATCTCACAAAGAATGCCTTGGTCAAGCGGAACATTAGAGCAAATACCAGTAGGAATCCACTACTACAAGGATGGATCTAAATTGCGGATTAGAATAAATATGTCATCCACAAGGCTTCATATATTTATCTACATCCAGAAGGCGATTAGGGCGAATTAAATCTAAGACAGTATTGGATTGTAGGAAAGCTTTAACTGAATATTCTCCCAAAGGTAAGGTTTTCATTATATGGGTACTAGGCCACTCGGAAGTAGTCTGCAACGAAAGGGAAAATATAATAGTTTTAAAGGGAAGGGAACTTGAGGTAGTTAACCTGATGAACGCAAAACCTTTCGACACAACAAAATATGGGTGAGAGAATCTCATAAGGCCTCTTGGAATAATGAAACGGTGGGTAGAACCACAAAGATCCTACGGTTTGACCCTGATGAGAGCAAGACGAGAAATTTCCTCAAAATGAGCAAGTCTGAGGTTAGTATGATGGTACGTATTCTGAGTGAACTCATTGGATTACGAGCACATCTATACAAAATTGGACGTGCGGATTCATGTAATTCCGGAAATAATAATGATTGGAAAATTCTTAGGAATTTCGACCAGGAAACTGAGCCTAGCGTCTCAACTAGTTGGAAGATACGAAATAATATATAGGAGATATACCAATTATGTACCATGGTTGGTAGTGTCAATTATTAAGTTACAGACCCAGACCAAATATACTTTACTTTAATTTAAAAATGACAGCTTTATGAGTATGAAATAGTAATCTGTTATCCAACACATAATGATAAAACACTGTACCGAGTAAAAACCCGGACGATTATAATATTAAATATAGTTTAAACTCTAGTCTCGAATGCCTATATTCTTAAATACATTTTTAAAGCAAATGTATGCCAGAAATACTACTTATATATACTTACATAGAAAATGATTTTGTAAACCGATGACCAGGGCAAAGGTTAACAAATTTTGTATAACAAATGAGATATTCCAATATAACGTGCCACTCTTCATCCTTTAAATCTGTTGATAATATTGTAGTAAATAAACCCGACTTTAAATTTCAAATGCTTCATTTTATCCACAATCAATCGATGTCCAATGTAACGCACTCCACAATAAAGGGAAGTTGTATTATTGTTGTTTTTCACTTTATTACACCTGGGTGGTTGACTTAGTGTCGGTAATATTTTTTTGTGTAGTTCTTTAAAAGTTTTGTATTGTGTTTTTTTATTTGTTGTTTTTTTGGGTAAATTCTTGTTATGGCTGCTATTTATGTTGACATGATTTCCGTTTCCTGTTGTCTCGTTTTTTGTTTTTTGGTTTGATGACTACTTTTAGTACGTTTGTTGTTCTGTTTGTGGTCAATGTTAAAGTGAAATTTTACGACCGAATTGCTAGAGCATTGTTATGCTCAATGTTAGCGTTTCACATTGATCGTTTCTTTTATTTTCCGTTCTTATTTTCCTGCAATTTTTCTCACTTAATTCATTTTTTTAATTTTTTCCTTTGTTTGCTTAACGTGTACTGTTGCTGGCAAAGGATGTTTCACAACGTACTGGTTTGCTACTCCTAACATTTGCTGTAAAGGAATAAAAACTCTTCGTTTTTTCTTGTTGCTTGTTTCTTGCAATTTTTCTGTTAAATGATTTGCAAGCGTGTTGTTTGAAATGAGATTTTATGTGAATCCTTAAATAAAATTGTTATTTTCTTTTATTTATCCTGCGCTCACAACGACACACACATTCATGAACTCATTTCGTGGCAAAATAAACGAATGTTAGTCTGTGTATGTGTGTGCAAGCAAGCAAGCAAGGATACGGATGTAGTTTAGTATTTGAAGTGGTAGTTGCTGTAGTTCAATTTAAATTGCGTATTTATACTACAAACACAAATTCTTGAGATAATTTTCAATGTTGTTGCTTTTGTATGCTCCAGTTTTGCTGTTTTTGTTGTTTTCTTGCTATTCGTCTGAAATGAAAAATAAACAAAAGAATTGTTTAGAATTGAAAGAATGAGAATTGAAAAAAATCTTCAATAAATAGTATTTTTTTCTGCTCTACTCTACTCTTAACTCAACTCATTCATTGTATGTCTTTCTTGTGCTTCATCTAACAATAAATATTGTGTTAGAAGTTAAGGCATCTACTGCAGAGTAGCAGCTTCAGTAGTATGTATAAGTCTTAGACCTAAATTGGAATTTTTTCCCTCATGCTTTATTTTGTTTTAATTTACTTAAGATTCTTGTAATTTTTATTTAGTTTTTAAAATATATGTATGTACTTATGTATGTATGTTTGTATGTATATTGAACTAAAAATTCTTTTATTCAAGTACTTCATAAGAGAACCTTTTCACCTTGTACTTTATTATTTCTTTTAAATGCTTTGTTTCTAACATTCAATACATTCTATTGGTCATAACTATTCGACCGTAAGTACAATCTTAGGAAAATTTATTTTCTTTCCTTTGGTTTTCGAGGCCTTCATCGCATGCCTTTCTTTGTTTTGCTTTTTTTCCTTAATAAATCTTTGATAAATGTTCTCGTATGTGTAATTTAATGCCAAAAGTTTTTCAGGTATGAAACTTATTTTTAAGAGAAACATATTGGCTATAAAAAAGAATCAAGGATATTATATGCCATACTTAAAGAAGATAAAAGCAAAGTCATGCATTAAAAAATTTTTTAATTTTATTTAACGAAAAGGTTTGCAAAAACCCTCTAGGATACAAAATCTATTTCCTTTTTGCTAGAATATAAATTTTCATAGCTTAATTTTTAGATTAAAGAAATTGTAGTTAATATTTTACACAAAAACAGGAAATGATCGCCAACTGTTTTATAGGCGAGTATAAAAATAACTCGTCTCAAAATTATTACTCAGTCAAACAGTTGATTTCCCCTTACTCCTCTAAAAGCCACGACAATTAAAAATCTTTCAAGTAAATAATTAAGAAATAATTTTCTATTTCTCTTTATTTCAGTTTATATTAATTGAAGTGTGAAATTGTGAAATCAATATTAAACATTGTGTTAAAAATGTTTAAATATTCTTGCAATTGCAAAATATTTTGTTTTAAAAACAATAGAAACAGCAATTTGTACAAATAATCTTTATATCAAAGCATTATCTCTAGGCAAATGTTGAATATATAAATATACACATGCATAGGCATATGAATGTATGTATGTGTAAAATAAACAATAGAATGTTTACACAAAAACACATAATTACTTTCCCTTTTACGAAGTTTTTATAAATATGTATGTATTTCAATGAGGATTTTGAGTATAATTTAAACAATTGAACAGCAAGAACATAACAAGAGAAATAAACAAAAAAGGATTTTTGTTGAAAAATTTATTAAGGAAAATGCATACATATGCATTTTTGTATTTTCACACATGTTTATACATTAGGGGACTCAGAAATGAAAGATGACGATGTACAAACCAAAACTGAAAAATTTAATTCATTATGAAATTTCTTAAAATTTTTGTTTTTAATCGATATTTGGTGAGATGAAATCAAAGGATAAAAGGATTCTTTTTGAAAGTTTTTACCACTTTTTGTCATATTTCTTGGGGCCACACCAATAAAAAATACAAAATATTCTTACAGAAGTGTGCTTGAAACTATTCAAACGAGATATTTCAAGTTGCCATCAATTGTAATTAAGGTTTAAACAAAAAATATTTCAAATATTTAGTTCTTTTTGTTCTCGACAAGAGTATGTACTTAAGTAATGCTTTTGTTAAAACTGCAAGTGAATACTGCAGATCTATTTAAAAGAGAAAACATTTTATACAAAACAAAGAAAAGGACACTGGTGTTTTTGTAAAGATTGTTATAACTAAGTGGTGAGGGTATTATGCGTTTGTGCTAATGTTTGTCCTACGGCCACCTTAAAGCATACCAATCGGCTCAGATTCGCCTTCTGAGTCAATTTAATCTGTCTGTCTGTTTCTCTGTATGTCTGTCTGTCTGTCTGTTTCTCTGTATGTGTGTCTGTCTGTTTCTCTGTATGTCTGTCTGTCTGTCTGTCTGTTTCTCTGTATGTCTGTCTGTCTGTCTGTCTGTCTGTCTGTCTGTCTGTCTGTCTGTCTGTCTGTCTGTCTGTCTGTCTGTCTGTCTGTCTGTTTCTCTGTATGTCTGTCTGTCTGTCTGTCTGTCTGTCTTTCTGTCTGTCTGTCTATCTATCTATCTATTATCTATCTATCTATCTATCTATCTATCTATCTATCTATCTATCTATCTATCTATCTATCTATCTATCTATCTATCTATCTATCTATCTATCTATCTACTATCTACTATCTATCTATCTATCTATCTATCTATCTATCTATCTATCTATCTATCTATCTATCTATCTATCTATCTATCTATCTATCTATCTATCTATCTATCTATCTATCTATCTATCTATCTATCTATCTATCTATCTATCTATCTATCTATCTATCTATCTATCTATCTATCTATCTATCTATCTATCTATCTATCTATCTATCTATCTATCTATCTATCTATCTATCTATCTATCTATCTATCTATCTATCTATCTATCTATCTATCTATCTATCTATCTATCTATCTATCTATCTATCTATCTATCTATCTATCTATCTATCTATCTATCTATCTATCTATCTATCTATCTATCTATCTATCTATCTATCTATCTATCTATCTATCTATCTATCTATCTATCTATCTATCTATCTTCTATCTATCTATCTATCTATCTATCTATCTATCTATCTATCTATCTATCTATCTATCTATCTATCTATCTATCTATCTTCTATCTATCTATCTATCTATCTATCTATCTATATATCTATCTATCTATCTACCTATCTACCTATCTATCTACCTATCTACCTATCTATCGGTCGGTCATGCCCGACTATACATTCTTACTTGTTTTTCAAATATATTTTAAAAAATAAATGCCTTGTAAAACTCACTTGAAAGCATAGTTCAAGAAGGAATTACAAGTATAAAAGCATAATCGACTATATGGTATAACTATACATACATTTGAAATGTATTTTTATATATACCTTTCTTATGTGGAGGTGTTGGTACAAAAAATGTATCTTCAGTTTTGAAAAAATATAATTATTTTCACTTCTTTGGAAGTCATTGAACATCAGTTCCACAGAAGCTTAACAAATTGACTTTTAAGTGGTGATAAATGTAATTCTTTTGGAAGTACTTCTTTTTTTACTGGCATGTACACAACAGGCAATAGTACACGGGACACCCTAATGGGAATCCTTTATATAAATCAAGGAATATATATTCATACGTATCTTATAAAAGTTGTTGTTAGAATTAAACTCATCACAATTAGGTCTAATTAGTACAGAAATATTACTACCAAATCCTTCATCATTTTCATTATACATATTGTTAATTTTTCCTTATAAACAACATACTCTTTTGTTCATTATTAATTCGATAAGAAATTTAATTAAATATATTCTATAATAAATTGTTTTAAATTGGCAATTTATCTCCCGACAATATATTGTATACACTGCCTGCAAATAACACACATCTCTTAACAGTTTAATCGTCAAACAGACAAAACAAATTCGCAAAAGGTGAACTAACCAAACAAACATTGGTAAAATTACTGTAGTTGAGCGTGTCAGAAATAATTAAATTTCTTTCAATTTTCACACTCTCATTAACATTCAATTTTACACAAATACCAACAGCTAAAACACGCACTTATGCCAGTAATTTTACTGGGAGTTAATGGATCGCTTTTAAATAATATTTTTTAAATAATTTCTTAATAGTATGAAACTAATTATAAGTTAGTAGTACCTTTTAATCTTTTAGATTACTTACTCAGGAGTAAACTTAGAAATGAAGTTTATAATATGGAAATGTTAAAATAATGAGCCTCATACCAGTTTGTAGTTTGGGACTGCTACCCCTGAACTGCTAGGTCATACTCTGAAACAGTAATTTATTGTTTGTAATCGTTAGTACTAGTTATTGCGCAGTCACTCAGTCTAGTTACTTTAACTGGGTAAATAAAACATAATATCCAAGCATGTAGCATGCATGTATGGTTCCATGCATGAAACACAAAATACACAAATGACATGCAATATTCTTTGTAAATGTTTGTATTATTTAACACAGCACAAGTGACACTCTGACAAAAACCAGTAAGATAGTAAATGCAGTCAATTCCGACTATTTGATGCCCTAAAAAGGTAATTTTTGGAAGAAGGTCTCATAAGAGCTTCCTGACTGTTATATATTTGTTACATATGTATTAGCATTACTTCTATGTATTCCTGACAAACATTAACACTATGTATTCCCCACATTATAAATTCCCCATATATAAAAATCATATTTAAACTTTGCTTTTGTGCGTGTATATTTCCACATTTACGTGCATGTCTGAGTTATGTTTCGGGATGTTAAACTGTCATTTTTCATCGATGCGTTGAAAACATTACTGTTAGGTGAAGTACATTTTAACTTGCTCTTTATAAGATGCTTTTTTACAAAATAAGTATATTTATTAAATGAAAACTTGTGTATGAAAAATACTCCAAAACATACATGTAAACAGGCGGCAATACAACTCATATTCTGAAGAATTCACTTAAACAAAAATTAATGTATTCAAATAACTTTTATATATTTAAGATACACAAACATATGTACATATAACTACTACTACTTTACCACTTCTTTCAGCAAAATCAAAAAATATTCATGTCAGACCAAACATATTTCGCCACTTTAATATAAGAAAGATTTATTTTTCAAAAAAGTTATTTTTCATTTTCCAGTATAATTTTGTGGAATACACAATTTTAAATTTTTTATAATTTTTTAACATTTTAAGCAGCATTAAAAATGTTCATTCATCTTGACCATTGGTTTATAATAACACTTTTTTCACCTTACAAAAAAATTATTTAAATG